TAAGAAAAACCTTTTCCCAAGAGCCCTGTGCAGTTTACCAGCATCTGTCCATCCCTTGTGGGGCTGTGTGTTGTTGAATAGATTGCTTAACCTCTCTGAGCCTTGGCTGCCTAGAATAAAGACACTAACTATACCCACCTCCTGGAGTTGCTGTGAGGACTGAAGGGGAAAGTGCCCATCAAGCCCACAGCCCCCCAGTGCTGGTCACCACCAAGCCAGGGAAGTGTCCCCTTTCCCTCTCCCCCTCCCTCAGTCCAGCCTCACTGCCTCCCAGCACCTGTGGGGTAGAAGAGGCAGGGAATGTGGGGTCCTCCTCATACAGACCTTAGAGAGCACACATGACATGCCATCATCACAAGTTCGTGGCTGTCTGGGCCTAGATTTCAGAGCTCCCAACTCCATTACTCAGACTCCAGACCCAGAGCCTCTTTCAGCCTCGGCTCCAGCGTGGGGCCTGGGCAGCAGACACTCTGTCCAGCTCTTTCTAATACCTGCTCTGAGCAATACACAGGGCAGGGGTGCGGATGATGGTGAATCAGGTTCTGGCCCCAGAACCTCACAGTCTTGCGGGGGAAGACGCCCCACCAACTCTGATAGGGGAGGGACTAGGTCTTTCCTGTGAGGAAAAGGCCCCGGGAGGGCATTGCAGGCAACAGCACAGGCACAGGCGGAGGCCTGGAGGCCCGAGGAGCATCGTGTCTGAGAAGCCTGGGCCCGCTGCAGGGCAGAGGCCAGGGCTGTTCACCCCAAACCCGCCGCGACCAGGCAGCACTGCACCACTTGCAATGTGCTCTCAGAAATGTACTCTCGTTTGAATCCTTGCACACTTGCTTCTGACGTTGGGATTATTCTCATCGTATGGAAGAAGAAAGAAAAGGTCCAGTGACTTTCTCTGCATCTCACAGCCACAAAGTGGCAGACTAGGTCTGGGACTCTGTTCTCGTCCCACCAGGCTCCCCAGACAGCTCGGGGAGCGGAAGGGCCCTGGGGAGCCCGAGTGGGTGTACTCACCTCGCCACTTACGGGTTGTGACTCAAGTAACTCACTGTTCACCATTTCCTGGCCTCCAGAATGGGGACACACTCCCTAGCAGTGCTATTTACAGGGCAGGGCGGTGATTCAGGAAAAGGCTGGAAGAGAAAGAGGAAAGAGTACCCACTGGGCACTCCTGGTCGGTTCCCATCATGCCTGCACACAGTAGGCACTCCACAAGTACTCACTTGGCCTTACAGCTGGCCTTACTCCTGACCCAGCACTTCTAACACGGGGTGGCATAGAGTTAGGCAAGGATGGATTAAGGATTCAAGAGGATTACTTAGTAATCAGCTAAACCACTTAAGCTGCCTGGGAAAAGACTAGGATCAGACTGTTCATTAATTTATTCAGCATGACTGTTGAACACTTAGCTGACCCAGAATGTTGATGATGATGGTGGTGGCGGTGGTGGTGTTGGCAGAGCTCAGTTATTGAGAATCTACTATTTACCAAGTACTTTGTATACAGTCTCATCACATCAACCCTCTCAGTTGATAGATCTTAAAAATGTTTTTAGTTGTTCTGTAATAGGGAAGGTGCCAGTCAGGTCTGGGACTAAGGGGAGGCAAATGAGATGCCCAGAGCATAGATTTAAGGAGGCGCCTGCGGTTACCACTCTGCTGGCTCCTGTGTCACCAGGCCCTGCCCCAGTGCTTGCGGTGGACACTGCGATGTGCTGCCTGGAGCCCCCTTCCGTGAAGCCATCGCCCCAGCTGCTGGAGTGCTGCCAGCAGACCGCCTCCCCCTGGCAGCTCCTCCGGGCCCATGGGTCATGCCACTTCCCCGGGCAGCCCACAGCCAGTGACTGACGGGGGCAGGCGTGGAAACTCAGGGCGACCTTGCAGGGCCCTTCTAGTGGCAGAGCTCCCTGTGAGGCCCGCAGAGGCTCTTAGGGACCTGCTCTGTGGCTTTTTAGCTCACTTCTGCTTCCGTCCCCTCCCTTCTGCAGGGGCCGATTCCCTAATAAACTTCTGGCAAGCAAAAGCCATCCCAGAAGCTTCCTGGGGAAGCAACAGTGACCTGCAACAGTGCCACTGTTGGGGTGACCCCTTTCTAGCTGGTTAAAACACAGCCTACCTAAAGACTCAAATACAAAGGTGTCCCCCCAAAACCAGGGCTCGGGGATCATAGCACCAGCTGCGAACTGCACTGTTCTAAACACTTTGCCTGCATTAACTCATTTACTCTCCCCAGCACCTCTGCGGGGTGATACTATTAGCACGCACGTTTTATAGATGACTTCAAGAGAAGTTATACTTTTCTGGAAAGAAAAAAAAAACACAAACAGCTTGGTGATAAAATCCAGTCAATCAAAAGATAATTCAAAATAAAGAACATCAGCCTGGGAAAATATTCGTATGAATAGGAAAAAAAGAAAAAAGAAAAAAAAGGATGGAAGAATGTCTTGTCTGTGTCCTGATTGGGTCCCCAACCCTGAGGGAGCCTGACTCTTGCTCCCGAAGACCCAGGCCCGGGATGAAAGTGAGCTCCACAGGACCAAAGGGGCGAAAGGTTGCTGTAGGAGGGTAGCCCAGGGAAGAGGTGCAAGACATCCTGCTTGAGTCACAGGAGGTGGTGTGATTACCTTAGGAGAACCAAGACTCAGAAGGTGAAGTGATTGGCTTGAGGCCAGGCAGCTCTTGCTTCTGGAGCTGGTTCCTGAGGCTGCCAGGCTACAAGCCCACTGCTCTTTAGGCTGCTCTACATGTGCTCTCCTCTCTCCTCCCCTCCAGTTGCTAGGGTCAGAATCCTCCCAAAAGGGGACCAGATGCAGTGGCTCATGCCTATAATCCCAGCACTTTGGGAGGCTGAGGCAGGAGGATCGCTTGAGGCTAGGAGTTCGAGACCAGCATTAGCGAAAACAGTGAGAACTCCTCCCACTCCCACTCCTCCCACTCTCCTAGTCTCTACAAAAATAAATTTTTTAATTAGGTGGATGTGGTGGTGAGTGCCTATAGTTGTGCCTGCTTGGGAGGCTGAGACGGGAGGATTGCTTGAGCCCAGGGTTTGAGGCTGCAGTGAGCTACGATTGTGCCACCGTATTCAGCCTGTGTGACAGAGTGAGACCCAGCCACTGGAAAAAAAAATCCTTTAAAGAGGGTTAGGGATCTGGGGATCCAGGTGGGGAGCGGCCCCAGTCTCATATTCTCCTCTATCTGCTGTCCAACTTGTCAGCAGCCCCTTTTGGAGGACAGGAGGAGGGAACGGCTCAGCAATTGGACTCCCTCCACTACCCCCACCTCCTTTAACTCTGGAAAGAGGCACGTGTTGGGTTTTCATTGTTATCCCTTCCATGTGGAGAGCACTTTAGAGTTTACCAACTGCTTATCAACTCATCCCTGAATTCGTTGCTTACTTATTGTGAGTCTTACTGCCTTATAAAGTAGAAGGGCAGGAATATTAGCCTCATTTTACTGGTGGGGAAACTGAGGCCCAGAGAGAAGGAAATTAGGGCAGTATCCAGCTCAGAGCCAAACCCTCCTGCCTTAATCCAGCCCTTTAGTGTCTGTCTCTGGTCTGGGGTCCTGGGCAAAGCTGGGGTCAAACACTGGCCTCTCTGAGCCCAGAGCCCAGGCCAGCCCCTTCCCAGAAGTCTCTCTTCCTTTCCCTCTTCATTTGGGCCCAGAAGGCCCCATGATCTTAGGGGAGACCTTTATTCATTTGCCAAATACCTCCTGTCGCCCACTCCATGCCCATCCTGGTAGCTTTGGAGCTGGTGCCAACACAATATGCCCTGAGAGAACTCCCAGGCTGGTGGAGAGTCACCTCAACAAACAAGCTTGGCATGGGAGCAAAGCCCAGCCACTGGGGACAGAAGGTTTCAGCTCCCTGTTCCTTTCTAGAGAGTATGTGGAATCTGTTCTCTCCTAGAGAATGCCCCACTGCCCATCCTAGAGCCATCCGCAGCATCTCTGATCCAGCCTCCTTCCTGCCTTTGGTCTCTCTTTTCCCGCCTTTCTCCCACGCCCCCAAAGCACCTAGGAATCTTTCCAGAGAGTCAACAGCAGAGGGTGGTGAGGAACTCTTACTGGTGATCAGGACTCTGAGACCAAATCCTGCCAGGCCTGGGCATATTCCGCATCCCTCATCTATAGAATGAGGACTGAGGTTACCTCACAAAGGTATTGTAAAGCCATGTGACCTTTCTTGTCCTTTCCAGACACCCCATGCCTTCCATGTACTGGTATGCCTCCCTTCCTTTAAACAGGCTCTTCTCTAACCTAAAAACATATTCATCACTCAAGGCTCTGTTCGTCGTATCAAATGTCACTGCCTCTGGGAAGCCTGAACTGACCCCCATTCCAACGGGCTAAAATTGCTCCCCCTCTGGGTTTGCCTGCTTGGCCAGTCTGTTATCCAGACCTCATCACAATCTTCCTCATACCAAGATTGGTTTATTTCCTGGCCTGTCACCCATCTACTCCACCTGGACTGTGATTCCAGGTTGGCACTGGGCCTGGAATAAAACTAGCACCAATTCGTAGAATAATCGCCACCATCACGTACTGAGGGCTGCCAAGGTGTCTGGCACTGTGCTAAAGGCGCAACCACCTGAGAAGACTGGGACCTTCTCCCTCTGAGGAAACGGCCTCAGACATCTGAATGGATGGTGTCTTGGACAAGGGAGAAAGCCACAGTCCAAATCCAGGGCTGTCTGAATCCTTAGGTGCCGCTCAGTTCTCTGACAGAGCGCCAAGCTCCCCCTACCCTAGGATCTGGGGAGTCCAGTGGTTACCTCACCCCCGGGTGGCAGCCTCTGCCTTCCAGGTTATGACATAATTGCGCAACTCCTCATATATTTTCGAAAGAAACTGTTGGTTTCCTCTCCTGGGCACTGCTGGGGATTGTGGCCCCCATGCCACCCAGGGTCTTCAGCAGCCTCAGGACTTTGGACGCTAAATATAGTCAGGGCTTGGGGTGATAAGGAAATGAAAACGACAAGACTGCAAAGTGACCCAGTTTTATTTTGGTTTTGGAGGCCAGATGGGGCACTGCTCCATGGGTTAGGGCTGTACAACCTTCCCTTCCCCGAGGTGGGAGGCCCAGGGCCCAGGTAGCGGGAGTCGGGGCTCAGTGGTTGGTGGCTCCGGGGACCTAATCCCGGTAGAGTGTGGCACGAGGAGAGAGGGGGAAATCAGGCAGAGGCCTGCAATGGCTCAGATTGGGAGGGGAGCGAGGAAAGAGAGAGAACACAGAATCCAAGAACCGGGAGTCAGAAAGCTGGGCCAGTCTCCTTCACTTTACCGCCGAGGCTAGGGTCAAAGAAGTGAAGCCAAACTGTCACCCCGCAGTAGGCAGGGCCTGGAGGGACGCTGCCCGGCTCCGCGCTCAAACCCGCCGTCTCCACCCTCACGGAGGGTGCGTGCGGGCCCATCGCTGGGCGTGGAGTCCGACGGGCAGTCAGCAGCTCACCGAGCCAGCGGGCGGCGCTGACCCCAAGTCCGAGAAGCAGTCGAACTCGCTCTGGCCCAGGAAGAGCTCGGGCAGTTCGCGCACGCGGTGCAGCCCGAGCTCGAGCTCTAGCGACGTCAGCGCCTCCTCGTCGATGAGCTCGGCGTCCATGCCGCCCAGGGCGTGCGCAGGCGGCGGGGCCGCGGTGGCGGGCGCGGGCTGCGGGCCCGGGGAGCCTCCTGGGGGAGCGGGGGGCGCGGTCGCCCGGCCCGGGTACAGCGTCGCCGCAGGCTGCAGGTGTGCGCTGCTCGCGGCCGCCGGCGGCACCGCCGGAAAGGGCTGGCAGGAGGACGGCGGCCCGAAGGCCCCGAACACCAGGGCCCCGGGTGGGGGCGGCGGCGGCCCCAGCAGAGCCCCCCGCGGCCGCAGCCCGCTGTCCAGGCCCGGGCCGGCGTACGGCTGCAGAGTCCGGAGCGCGTGAGGGCCGAGGGCGGGCGCGGCGGGCGGCGGCCGCTGCACCAGGCGGTAGCCCTCGGCGAGCATCAGGTGGTCGGCCATGGCGGCGGGCCGGCTGCCTGCGCGGGCAACAGGCGGGCGGTCAGCGTGGGCTCCCCCGGGCTAGCTGCTCCTCTGCGGCGGGAAACCCGGGCACCGTGCCGTCGCTGCAGCGCAGCCGCGCAAAGGGAATCCAAACCCGGCTCGTACCCCAGCCCGGTCCGGACGTCCCGAGCTACGCGCAGACGCCCCGCGAACCCACCATGTAAAGCTCCGAGACTTTCACGCCGCGCCCCGGGGCTTGGCGAACTCTTATACCCAGAGGCGGGGCTTCCCCGCCCCCTGGTGCTCATTGGCTGGATGAGGCTCTTCTGGGTGCGCCGCGCGCTCCTCCTTCTAGGTCTCGGCCACGCCCCCTGCCGGAGCCCCGCCCCTAGGCCCCAGACCCCGCCCCAGGCCATGAGTGTGGCTATGGGGAGATGCGTTTGGCACTTTCTGAGGGGCTTAGACTTGAGGCTAGGCTTGAATTCACCAGAAGGTGGGGTGGGAGGGCCAGAGATTAGGCCCCCCAGGGTTGCAGAATCTCAGACCCACCCACCCAACCTCTTAATTTTCCAGATGGAGTCCCAGGCTCAGTGGCTGAAGAGATTTCCTGGAAATACACAGCAAAGCCTTGACAGAAGCGAGACTCCAACTCGGGCCTTGAGATTGCACAACTACACTGGGCACAGGCACCTTAGCGGTGCAGGGTCCCCGCGAGAGGTCAGCTGTCCATCCCCATAACCCCCAGGGGAGCCAGTTGCTGTTCCTCTGGCTCCCACCGTGCCTTGTCTGTTGAAGCATGTACTGAGTTGTTATTAAAGTAATTTATGGGCATGTCTCCTGAAGGACTTGTTCATCTTCTTATCCTCAGCACTTGGCCCAGAGCCTGGCCCAGAGCAGGCTTTTAGCAAGAGCTGGGTGAATGAACAAATGAATGAATGAATTGCAACTTATTCACCTGAGATTTTGTTTTTCCATCTGTAAAAGGGAACAACAGCAGCCCTTGGCCCCCTTGTGAGGGTTAAATGAGGGGATGTGTGTACAGTGTCCAGCACAGTGCCTGGCACATAGTAGATGCCCAAAAGTGTCCTCAGATGAATGAAAGGCTGGATTTAGTTCTGTCCCTAAGGACCTTTCGAGTGGGGAATATCAGACCTTCCCTTGATAACAATAATAATAACTTGCATTTTTTTTAGTGTTTTACATCCTACAAGCATCTCCCTGTGGGCAGGGCATGGATTATCAGCCCCACTTTGCAGATACGGAGAGGCAAACAAAGAAAAAGTGACTGTCCTTGTGTACAGGCAGCCCAAGTTAGCATGTGAATGCCATGTGTTTTCCAAGTCCGAGCAGCAGGAGTCTGTGCCAGTGGTCAGGACACAGCCTTCTTGAACCTTGCCCTCCACCCATGTGACACTCTCTCCCTCTCTTCTTTGACTCCCCTCCCTCAGTACCATCCTTGGTACTTCCTGGAACTTGGGTTTATCCAGTTGGTGTAGAGTGGAGAGCCCTACAGTGAGAGTGCAGAGTTCTAACTGTACCTCTGCCACCCACAGGTGTGTGGCCTCCACCACCAGCGGATTGTGACTGTTGGGTGTTGGGTGGGTGGGGGGTGCAGGCTCAGCTTTCTGCTCAGTGAAAGGGCGATGGTGACCCTGCTCAGGCACCCTGAGAGCTTGTGGGAAGTCACAAATGACCGTGGGTATGGTCACATTTCTACAAAGTGTAAAAGCTACACACTGAAGTTGATTCCCCTGAATCTCTCTCTCCAAATTAAGATTTCACACAGAAATTCCTAAACCTGGCCATACCTCAGACTCATCTGGAGATGGGGGAGAGGAGCAGGTGCCTGGGGGCTTTGAAAAAGACAGAATCTCCAGCCCCACACTAACCTCCTGACACAGACTCTCTGAGAGTATTTTTGAATCATAAGAATCTGCCATTCTGACCTCTTTGGTCTAAGGACATCAACATTTGGGAGCCATTGCACCACCAGACGATTTTCCTTTTAAAAAAATGTGTGTGTAAAAGAGTGCAATGTGTACCATCCAAGGGATGGACACACTTGTAACTTGGACTTGGGGGGGCGGCGGGGCAAGGGCAATATACATAACCTAAACATCTGTACCCCCATAATATGTTGAAATAAAAAAAATGTGTGTGTGACTAATGTTTAAAAAGTTCTTTAATTTAGACAACAAGTATTTATTGAGCACCTACTCTACACTAGTTTATCTACTAGTGGTTTTTATGCTTTCAAGGTCATGTACTTCTCTGAGAGTCTAATGGAAGCTACAGAATCATGGTCACAAACTATTGCCTATAAATTCAGTGAATTAACAGATCTGGGGGTGGGGGTGTCCATGGACTCCTCAGGGGTTCATGGAGTCTGGGTTAAGAACACCTGTTAGATATGTGTAAAGAGCAAACTAAGTAAAATAATGATCCCCATTTTAGAAAGTGATAGGTACAACGTAACCGATTAGCACCATGGTGCTCACATGGCAGTAATATTCTCCAGGGATTAGAGGGATAGGGAGGTTAACTCACAACTAAAGGACATGGTGAGCATTGTAGAGGGGAAGGGCACGCCTCTAACCCTCGCTTGGGTGAGGCAAAGACATAAAATGTAACCAAAATGTTTGTACCCTCATAATACCCTGAAATAAAAAATAAATAAAAGAAAGAAAGTGATAGGTACAATGGATAAAAGGAAAAAGAGAGGGGGGAGGATACTGGGGTGTAGGGAAGCGGGGAAAGGTTGTAGCCTTGCACAGAATGCTCAGGGTGAGCCCACTGGGACCGTGGGGTTTGAGCAGAGACTTGAAAGAGGAGAGGAGTGTCTGGGCAAAAGGGGTCCAAGCAGAGGACCAAGCTCCCAAACACTAGAGCAGTGCTTCTAAAACCGCAGCAAGTACCAAGGTGTCAGCATTACCAGGGACTCGTTAGAAATGCACATTCCGGAGTCCCATTCTGAACCTGAATCAGTTTCTGAATCAGAAACTGGGCTGGGGCTCAGCCATGTGTGGTTTATTAAGCCCTGCAGGTGATTCTGGTTACGGACCTCCGAGTTAGGGTAAAGCCTCAAGGCAGGTGTGAGCAACAGCCCAGAGGGAGTGTGGGCAGAGTGACATGCTCTAACCTGTGCTCCTCTGGTCGGAACTCATTCGTTCCCAGTGTTTCCACGAACTGCTTCCTTGCTGCTCCTTGGACTTCGCAAGCACATCACTTCTCTGGGCTCTTCCCTGAGACAGCCCCACTCCTTTACCTTGTTCGGATCTCCATCCAAAGGTCGCCCCTTAGAGATACCTTCCCTGACCACCCTCTATCCCTCTCTAGCCCCTCACCCTGTTTTGCTTTTCTTCTTAGCACCTACCACCACTTGGCATTACACTCACGCATAACAATGTTTTGGTTAATGATGGTGGTCCTATGAGATTGTAATGGAGCTGAAAAAATCCCTGTCACCTAGTGACCTTGTAGCCACTGTCAAGTCGTAGCGCAATGAATTACTCCTGTGTTTGTGGGGATGCTGGTGTAAACAAACCTACTGTGCTGCCAGTCATATAAAAGTATAGCACATATAATTATGTATAGTACACTTGATAATGGTGATAAACAACTATGTTGCTGGTTTATGTATTTACTATACTTTTATTGTTAGAGTGTATTCCTTCTACTTAAAAAAAAAGTTAACAGTAAAATAGCCTCAGACAGGTGCTTCAGGAGGTATTCCAGAAGAAGGCATTGTTATCATAGGAGGTGACAGCTCCATGTACCTTATTGCCCCTGAAGACCTTCCAGTGGGACAAGATGGGGAGGGGGAAGACAGTGATATTATATGATCCTGACTCTGGGTGGGCCTAGGTTCACGCGTGTGTCCATGTCTTAGTTTTTAACAAATAAGTTTAAACAAAGTGTTAAGAAATAGAAAAAAACTTGTGGAATAAGGATATAGAATAATTATCCTTTTTGACAGAGGAAGAAACTGAGGCCCAGAAAATGATTGGAACTTGCTGAGGATTGTGTGTGCATGTGTGTGTTGGAGTCACGGTTGGAAGAGACATTTGTAGCCCCCAGAGCAGAGCCTTTCCCGCTGACCCAAGCCGCTTTACCCTGAGCCACACCTTTACACATGTGAGTCGACAGGGCCACAGGTGGGCACTGACCCATGGAAGGAACTGGTAGGCCCTGAGGACCATCTTATGCCACCAAGTAGGGATGCAGTCCTTCTCTCTCCTTCTCTATGTCCAGTCTTCCTTTTGAGGACACATCGGAGGAGCCACTCGAAGTGGCTTCTATCTCCCCCAAAGGCCCCAGGTCCTGGCTTGCAGAGATACCTGACGTGACAGCTCTTGGATTTTACTCTTGTTGACAGCCCCATTTCCAGCACCCAGCGAGGGGCGACGCTCAGAGAGGCCTGAGCAAACGCTGTCCATGGACTGAGAGACTGGAGGGCTCGGGAGAGGTGCCTGGGGAGCACCTCATTCTAGAACCTCTGAGCTGGCTCCCTGGCCTGTGGCTGAGCCCCCTCCCCACCCCCATCCCCAGGCAGCCTGGCAGACTTGGCACCCAAACCTGGACACTTCTCTTGTGCCGAGATCCAGGTGACTGGCAGGCAGAGCCTCACCCGTCTGCTGCTTTTTCTCTAGATTGCAGAGCAGGCGGACATTTCTACCACATCCCCTCAGGGTCATGTCCTCCCAGACACCCCAGCTGAGGATGTGCAACATTGTGCCTGACGCTCAGGTGACAAGAATGAGGCGACAGCACCTGATGGTAACAAGAATAACATTAGCTAGTGTTTACTGAGTATTTACAGTATACCGGACATGGGCTGGATGCTTTACAAGTATTATCTTATTTAATCCTCATAATAAACCTGTGAAGAGTTACTACTGTCATTCCCATTACACAGAGAAGGAAACTGGGACTCAGAATGGGAAGTGACGTGCCCAAGGTCACACAGCTAGTGGTGGAGGAAAGGTGTGCGACAGCTCTGATAGCTGCCTCCCGGGGGCACTCTCCTCTTCTCCCTTACTTGCATGCCAGGTGCACTCCTGCCCAACAGCTCCGGCTCCTTCCTCTGCCTGCTCGCCCCAAGCCTGCTCGGCCAATTCCCTCCCCTCCTTCAAGGCTTTGCTCAAATATTATCTTTCTCTTATCCTGATCACCCTATTTAATTGTAGTGGTTTCCAAATATG